CGAAAGAGTGGAGAATTGTACTGAATTAGTTATAAATAGTAGACTGGCAATGTTACAGTGGGCACAGAACTATCAGGGAACTGGGAAAGGGTGGAGGAGAGGGTGCAGCTGGAGAAAGCCCCGACACCTTTACCTAGAGCTCAGGCAATCTGGGTTAAAGGAAGGCCTAGTACAAATGTGTCTTTACCTTAGGCCTCCTTGCCCACCCCAGCCATATAACTCCTCCAGCTCTGGAAGAGAGCCTTCCCTGCAGACAGCCCCTGTAATCTTTGATTTGTTTTGTTTTTAGAGATGCTGGTGCCTGATTTAGTGTTATCCCAAGGAACTGCCTAAGACTGTCCAGGAGAGATCCCTGATGGCCCCTGTGGGGACCTGCAGACAGGCTCTGTATCACAGGTGTCAGACTGTCCTCGGAGGCCCAGCAATGCTTTGACTCTTGCTCATTCTTGTTCCTAATAGAATTAGAATTTTGGAATTCTCTCTTCAGGGCACTGAGTAGGATACAGGCACATCAAGGTCCCTACCCACCAAGAACAGCAGTTACAAAAAACACCAGTCACCCTCCAAAGAGAAGAAGGTGTACTGTTGAGCATAGCTTGCTTATGTTCCTATTTTTTTGCTTTTGTTCCTGAGCAGCTATGTAATTATCTCCCTTTTTACCAAGGTCAGTCGGCCACCTGGCAGCTATTGTACAAACAACCCTCTATCCCTCTCACCCTGCATAAGGTGTGTGACAAGGAGCTGTGCTAATATCTCTCCGGCAGTGATAAATGGAGCTGCTAAGGGACTCTGGGCTTTGTAAATCTCTCCTCCACCAAACCCAGGACATTTTCAGGTGTGCCTGGTGCCCTGAGAAATGATTTCTGATACATGTGCTGCAAACAAGGCACAGAAGCAGTCGGGGTAAGCAGACAGAACTCGTCTGGTGCCCACCCAGGGGTGTGCTTGCAAGCCACACCACAGCCCACTCAGCCAAGCCCTGGGGAAGGGATGAAAAGGGAAGTGGAAGATTGCAGGAAGAGTTATGTCAAACCCATGCCTGTGGACAAGGAGACGGAACAAACCCCTCAGAACTATGGCGAGATGGGACTACCTAGAAAACATGGAGGAAACAGGAAACTGAGGGACTAAGTTGAAATTACTTGGCTCAGGGTGGGGGCTTGTCCATCCTTTTGAAGTTATTGTGATTTTGAACAGAGGAATAAATCATGTAAGGCTGAAGAGATGGGTAAAATGTTTGCACAAAGGCCTGCATTCAATCCCAGGTGCAGTCATGCCTGTCTATAATCACAACATTCCTACAGTGAGATGGGAGAATGTGGGGACACTCAGGATAAACAGAGGCAAGCAGGAGACCTGTCTCAAACAAGATAGAAGGTGGGGACGAATATCAAAGGTTGTCCTGTACCCTCCACATAAGTGCGTTGGCACACACCACACACATACATAAGAACGTGTGTGTGTGTGTGTGTGTGTGTGTGTGTGTGTGTGTGTGTGTAAGTGAGAAGATACGAACTGCACAATTAAAAAAGAAAAAAACTGTCTTCGTGTAGCAGGTTAGGTTTGCCTGATTTTCCTGTCTTAAAGATTACTTGAGATAATGGTATGCAAACTCCTTAGGAAACCATATACACAAATGAATATGGGAATGGCTCACAGAACACGTGAGAGCATCAGGGATTGTTGTAGAAAAGCTACAGCCCCGCGTGCTGTCCATGTCAATGTAACATTCTGCTTGCCAGTACCTGCCCTGTGTGTTGTTTATGAGTGCAGTAGACTTGGGCTCCTCTGTGGGATGGTCTCGGCTTTCTGCCTTGAGATTTCTTTGCTATTGTTGTTGGCAATGCTGGGGATGGAACCCAGGACCTCACACCTGTTAGGCAAGTGCTCTGTACTGCGCTGAACCCCAGCCCTGAGAGTAAATATTGATTGTCACATCAGCACCACGCTGATTCTGATTTTCTCAGTCTTGCAGCATTGAACAAGCCCCAGCACTTTCAATTCTGGAATACAACATATTGGAAACATTTGTTTTTCCTGAAAGCCCATGTGAAGGACAACAGAAAGATTTGAGGTCCTGCCTGTCTTCAGGAACTCAGTTGACCTGGCCATCAGAGCCAAGAAGGTTAAAAGCAGGTGGAGACTGAGGCTAATGCCTTCCTCTCACAAGCATGTAGCATGTCCCTCTCATCCATTCACACAGGTTGAACAGAACTTCCCATTTGAGTTTCAGATAAACAGTAATGATTATAAAGACCCTTCATTTACGGGTGGGAAGACTGGAGCTGGGGAGGAGCTCCTGTGGTTCGGAGACCACACCCTTAGAAAAGGGAAGTAGTGAATCCTGACTCCAAACCACACCCTAACCTGCTACACACTTAGTGCTCCCTATAAATGAGGGAACTTGTATATTGTATAGGAAGTTTGACAAGGAGAAAGTGTGTGTGTGTGTGTGTGTGTGTGTGTGTGTGTGTGTGTGTAGGCGAGGAACCCACAGGTGGCATTCTTCTGGCACTGTCCACCTCCTTTACTAAGACAGAATCTCTCCAGACCTGGAACTTCCAGAGCAGGCTAGACTGTTTGGCCAGAGAACCATCTGCTTCTGTCTTCCCAGCCCTGGGATTACACCTTTTTCTTTAAACCTGGGCTTTAGGACTCAAACTCAGGGCCTCAGCTTCTGAGGCAGTTAATTACTTTGCTGACTCAGCTCTCTCCCCAGGCCAAGATAAACTTTTGAAAGCTCAGCTTGCTCTCAATAATGTCCTCGCATTATTGCCTGAAAGGTTTGCATGGTTTCTGGCCTGTGCTCATAATGCGCTATGCATTGATTAATCTCTTTTTGTGTATAGTCCCACGGTAGACACACAGGCTGGGGTCAACAGGGCAGAGGCTGTTTCTGGTTTTTTTCCTTTGGATGCCAGAATGCTGGCTGGCCTTTTAGAGGAAAAGAAAGAAAAACAGAAAATTGCAGGCCTGCCCAGGAGCAAACATGAGAGAGAAAATAGAAGTACACATGTGGTAAGAAGTGGCCGGTGGGTGTTTTTTTTTTATAGCAGGCACTCTGAAGAGTGGGGATCTGGTTGCATGTTCTTTGGCCCTCATGGAAGAGAAGTTCTTAATAAATATTAATCGGCTGCTGGAAAGAGGTTATGGGCATCCAAGGTCACGTGGATGCTTGATGGCCAACTGAGAACTCAAAGCTCCTTCCCCTTGCCCTGTGTCTCTTTCCTTTACATGATAATGATCCCAACAGCCTGCCCAGCATGCCGGTAATGATGCTTGTGGAACAAAATCCCCACGACCAAAGAAGAAAGACTAGAGGTGTGCCTCCGACTCCTGGAATAGCTGGAATCCCACATGTCTGCTTCAGGGCAGCAAATTCAGAGGGTTTGGGGGTTTTTTGTTTTGTTTCTCTCTCTCTCTCTCTCTCTCTCTCTCTCCTCTCTCTCTCTCTCTGTCTCTCTGTCTCTCTCTCTCTCTCCCTCCCTCCCTCCCTCCTTCCCTCCCTCCGTGTGTGTGTGTGTGTGTGTGTGTGTGTTGTTTTGTTTTGTTTTTTGAGACAGGGTTTCTCTATGTAGTCTTGGCCATCATAGAATTCACTTTGTAGACCAGGCTGGCCTCAAACTCACAGAGATCCTCCTGCCTCTGTCTCCCAAGGGCTGGGATTGAAGGCATGTGCCACCACTGCCCATCCAAATTTGGAGTATTTTACTTGTAGACATGTATTGTACAGGTCGTGTGACATAATGGTATTAAGATTAGCATATATATATGTATATATATACATATATATATGATTAGTCTATATGTGTGTATATATATGATATATATGTATATATCCCGAGGAGCCTATCTTCCTGTACCCACAGCATCTACTTAGGTCATTAAAAGTCATTGCTTGTCCCTTTGAGCCAGGTCCCCATAGTGCTAAGGAAAGCAGTCAGGCTGATACTGGAAAATCAAAGTTAAAATTGTTTCACTTGGTGCATGAGCCAGCAAGTCAAACATTAGAAATGAAGAAAGTGTCTGTAGAAGATATGTCACAACAGTAATAACTGCAACAGCCGCAGACTAGAAACACCCTAAGTGACTGTCTCTCCTAGAATGAGTAAATTGTGGTATGTCTGTATGATAGAATTATAGTCGGTAGTGAAGACGAAGCACACAACTCAGCATGAAGGAATCCATCTTATAAGAGATGGAAACCGTCAGGCTCCCTTTCGGTGATTCGTAGTCCATGTGGTTCAAAGTTAAGCTAATGATGCTCTAGGTCAAGAGAGGGGAATGACTAAGGCTTCTGACAGCATCTGTTTCTGGATTTGAGGGTGGGAGTAGTTTTCAAGGTGTTCCCACTTAGTAAAAATCCACTCACTCATTTACTTTACGCAGCCCTTGCCTATATGCATGTTGTTTTTCCATGCAAAATCTAGATTTGGGGGGAAATGATACACTGCCTTCATCAAAACTGGCAGATACTCAACTGTGTGCTGTCCCCATCTCACCTCTGGCTTCTCTTGTCTTGTGTCATTCTAGCAGTTACAGCAGTCTCATCTGCCCCGCCAGCACCTCCAGCAACAGCGGACTCCATACCCAGTACAGCAGGTCAATCAGTTCCAAGGTGAGGCCATCGTGTACCTGCTGGTCCTGACTTCCCGAGAGTCTGGGGCCAGTGTGTTGCTTTCCATGCTCTGTTTATATCTGGTTAGTAACCAGCAAACCTAATAATTGGCAAACTAAAAAGAGTAACCACAAAGAATTCCTGGAGGACCCCTGTGAGGTCTGCTGATCCTTGGTGGTCATAGAGAAGTTCTAGCCAGCCCAGGGTGAAATGTAGCAGCAAGACTCATCATTCTTCATTGTCAAGGCTACAGAGTATTTTGATAGCTGAGCAACCTGTAAGGACAAGCTAGTGCTGTCAGGCCCAATATCAGTCTTGTTTGCTTGGCTAGATAGTCATCTTAGTGACAGAGGAGAGGGGTTTGGGAGTGAGGGTGAGAGGGAAGGGAGGGTGGGGGGAGGGAGGGACGCATGCAAAGCAGTTGCCAATCCAAAAGGGTGGGCTTTGCTACAGCAAGACATGAGATTCTTTGCTAAGTAACAAGAGACAGGATGTCTTCTTTTTCTAGCTGCAGACACAGGCCAATGAGTCAGACTCTAGTGCTCATGGAGAGCTACAAGGTGGATCTAAAATCCATCTCATTGGTCACATAGCTTGTAGGCAGCAGTAATGACCTTGTGCCTCAAATCCTATTCAAGTCTTAAAGAAAAAAAGTCAAATGGGGACTTCATTGAATGGATTCCCTACTGAACTGAATTCCACTTCTCACAGAGAATATGCATTGAACAGACATTATTTATTCTTCTTTGCCCTCCTCCTTTTCTTCATTCTTCGCCTCCTTTCCTAGGCAGAATCCCACTGGAGTTCACTGTATAGCCCAAGCTTGAGCCCCCAATCCTCATTCCTCCCTGTCTTCCAAGTTGATAGGCTTGCAGGCATGTATCACCACACTCAACTTAGCCCATGGTACATTTTCCTAACACTCAAAAAGATGGTGCCCCACGGACTTGATGGCATGATACCCAGAATAGGAAATGACTTGCATCTGAACGTGAACAAACAGAACGCTGGGGTATGACCTCAATTTTCTGTGTCTATTTAAATATAAATAAGAGTTGGCAGGGATCTTCTCTGGATGCTGGGATTCAGGTGACTTTAATTTCTGACTTTGTATCTTCAAATACTTTGCAAAGTTTTCACAACTCACCTGTTATAATCATCTAAGTAATGACCTTTTGTGGCGATGTTCTGCAGTAGATCTTTCATATACAGGACTGTCATTCCCAAGAGAAGATTCCAGCAACATCTTACAACATACTGATACAGAGAATAATGGGTGATGGCTGTCCTTTTCTCCCCTGTAGGTTCACCCCAGGACATAGCAGCTGTGAGAAACCAGGCAGCCCTCCAGAGCATGCGAACGTCAAGGTTGATGGCACAGAATGCAGGCATGATGGGAATGGGACCCTCTCAGAACCCGGGGACAATGGCCACAGCAGCCGCCCAGTCAGAGATAGGACTGTCGCCTTACAGTGCCCCTCCAACCAGCCAACCTGGAATGTACAACATGAGCACAGGAATGACCCAAATGCTGCAGCACCCGAACCAAAGTGGCATGAGCATCCCACACAACCAAGCCCAGGGACCCAGGCAGCCTGCCTCTGGCCAAGGGGTGGGCATGGTGAGTGGCTTTGGACAGAGCATGCTGGTGAACTCGGCTCTTTCCCAGCAGCACCAGCAGTTGAAAGGACCCGTGGGCCAGGCCTTGCCGAGGCCCCAAGGCCCACCAAGGCTTCAGAGCGTCATGGGAACCGTCCAGCAAGGAGCACAAAGCTGGCAACAGAGAGGCTTGCAAGGAGTTCCAGGGAGGACTAGTGGAGAGCTGGGACCATTCAACAATGGTGCCAGCTATCCACTTCAAGCTGGTCAGCCAAGACTGACAAAACAACACTTCCCACAGGGACTGAGCCAGTCAGTCATGGATGCTAACACTGGCACAGTGAGAACCCTCAATCCAGCAGCTATGGGCCGTCAGATGATGCCACCACTCGCAGGGCAGCAAGGTACCAGCCAGGTCAGGCCTTTGGTCATGTCTGGTCTGAGCCAGGGTGTCCCTGGCATGGCAGCATTCAGCCAGCCCCCAGCACAGCAGCAAATAGCAGGTGGCAGCTTTGCTGCAAGCAACCAGGGCCAGGCCTATGAGCGGAACCCTGCTCAGGACATGTCATACAATTATAGCGGTGAGAGTACTGGGGCTTCATTCCCTGGCCTCCCAGACAGTACAGACCTCGTGGACTCCATCATCAAAAGTGGCCCGGGGGATGAGTGGATGCAAGAGCTTGATGAACTATTTGGTAACCCCTAGTCAGGAGGGGGCCAAGATCTGTAGTGGTGGCAGCCTCACAGGAAAGAAAGAAACAGGATGGCTCCCCATCCTTGTTTTTTGTTTTTTTGACCCACGTAAACTGAGAAAACGACAGCTGGCTGACAGTAGAAGGTACAGGTGTCAACCCCCAGCTCCGTGGGGCTTCATTCCACCTGCCTTCCACAGAGCAATCAAGTACAGAGGCCACACAGACACCTGCTTGGAGAGAAGCGATATGGAGAGCAGGTGGGTAAGTCGAGGCAGCAAGAGTTCCTCTGCTAAGCACCCCTGGGATCTACTGGCCCAGAAGGAGTTGTTCCAGCCCAGAGGGACTATGGCCCAAGATGAGGTCCCCTTAGACCGTCCTGCCTCAGGTCCCGAGACCTCAGAGATGGAACCTCAGCCAGAGAAAGCCCAGCAGAGGATGCTGGGAGACACACAGGCCATGTGCATAGGTCACAAATGCTCTGGATGCTGGATGGAAGGAGATGTATACTTCCAGACATGTTCCTGGATTTGGAGGTAGGCACGAAGAACAGTGAGCTTGCCTGAGCTGGCCCTAGGGAGACAAGCAAGGATCCTGCAGGTTCACCTGTCTCCTGCCCAGCGATGGTCCTCAGGAATGGTAAGGTGTTGCTGCCAGCCCCCTTACCAGGATAGCTAACAATGCTTGAGAAGGGCCCATCCAATAGCCCTGAAGGTCAGCTTCTGCCAGTGGCCATGGTGGCCATTACTCTAGGTTGCACTGAGCTTCCCAGAGTCCTCATCCATTTGACACATATAGCTGGTTTTCGTCTGTTTATGGCCATAGCATGGAAAGACCCCTGCTGAATTCAGTGTCTGCCAGCCCAGCCCCTTCCTCCCTCACCACTGCCTCTAGTCCTCCTGGCCTGTATGCCAGCCTTGCCTTTGCTTCTCCCTACACACTACCCAGGAGGTGAAGCACTGGGGCAAAGTCAAAGTCAGTGCAAGAGGAATTTAGACACTGTCTGGCATACAAAGGTCTCCACTGGAGCCAAGTGGGCTACACTGATAAAAGCTGCAGGCTTTATAAGAGTTACACCCATACTTCTGCTATCCCCAGGGAAGAATGGTCTGAAGATCCCAGCTCTTCAGATGGGGCCAACAATGACACTCCAGAATCAGTCTTGCTTATTTATCAATCCCATCATCAGAAAGGCAAATATCAAATGCTGGAGATGGAAATGCTGAAAATTCATGACTCGATCTTACCAATTTGGATGTTAAAGAGAGGGAGATATGTTCCTTGTCCTGAAAGCAGTCTACTTCAAAAGCTACACCGCAGTTCTCTTGGTAACTCACACAAAGTTGCCTGAAGTGTAAACGAAGAAGGAATTAACAGTCTCCATGGCCACAAGCCTTGTCTCTTGCTCTTTACCTCACCTCCCACAATCCCATCTTGGAGGTCAGGTGACTTTTATCCATGGTGTTTATTGTCCTCCTAACCACCCAAATGCACAAGCACACACGAACACACACGAACACACCCTACAAACTGGTTCATTCTATGTCTTCACATACTTCTTACTCCAGAAACCCAAGCCTGTGGGAACTGCACCGGCCATACCCAAGAAAGTCCACAGAAGGGAAAGTCCCGAAGCAGGGCACTCTGGAGCTAGCTGTTCTCCATCTTTCCAGAGTTCCAGACCTGCTCTGACAGGAAGTAAAGCTGGAGGCACCAGGGTGAGGAGCTGTGCGCCTCTCCAAAGAGGTGGTGGCAGGGTGACTATGAACTCCCAGAATGGGGAGTTACTGCCACTAGGAAAACTGAGTGGAAACACGTGAAAACCAAAAAATAAAAAAAATAGTAAAGTGAGAAAACAGAATACAAATTTATCACCTTTTCCTGCCAGGTTACAGGAAAAAAAAAAGTATATAAGCAATGAGGAGGAACTGGAGGTGGAGAGAGTGGGCTCCATTGTCCTTTAAAAGCCTCCTGAAAGTGCTCAGTCTAAGGACCAACTAATAGATGGTAGATTTTAATGAGGTCATTTTGTTTTGTTTTTACTACGGTGCTGATGTATATGTAATGTCTAAAAAAAAGTTATTTGTACATAAGTTTTTACAATGCTACAGATATCACTGGGTCTACTATATGTAAAAAGTATACATATAAATATATTATATATATATAATGTTTGTTTAAAATAGAGTATTTTTATTTCCTCCCCAACTCATCGTTGAAGAGGTGACATACACTTCAGATGACATCTAAGTACTGGTTTATACTGTATGACCTGTGGCAACTTCCTCCATTTAATTCAGAGGTTTCTAGCTTTCTGTTTTTACTTTGTGCAGCAAGCATTGCTCATTTCCATTAAGTAATGTACAGAACTCTGAAATGTAAGAGCGAAGCAATGTTGACACACCACTTTTAAAGAAAAAACAAACAATGGAAATAACATGTCACTCTCTGAATCAATCCATGGCATAGTTCACTTTAGGGTGCCCTTTCTGCTCCAGCATTAGTTAAGCAGATGTATCATTCCCGGGTTCTCATGGACTAACTGCAGATTCCTTTCTCGGAATTATTTAACAGTAGAAATCAATCACTCTCAAGCCTTCTTAATTCAACCACACAGCAGAGACTTTCTGAGTTTACTAGAGCATCCTAGTAAAGGGACGGGAGTGAAAGGGACGGGAGATCTAACACGAAGAAGTCTATTCATAGATCCAGGACCAGAACAATTCAAAACTAGCTCAGTCAGAGCATTCAGAAAATAATGGGGCCAGCAAGATGGCTCATCAGATAAAGGCACTTGCCACCAAGCCTGATGACTTGGGTTCAATCCCTGGAACCCACAGAGTCGTAGGAGAGGAGCAACTCCCACAAGTTGTCCTTTGACCTGTATATGAGCTCCATGGTTCATGTGCACATACACACATACAAATTAATGTATAAAAATATAATGAAGAGAAAATGGATAGTAAAACTTGGATGGAAAAAATTTGGAATGTATTGGGGAGACACAATTCAGTAGTCTTGCCCACTGTAATGGGCAGTTTTGACACCTTCTCTTCCCTGTGCCCCTTGTTTCTGCTAGCCCACGATACATCTGTCAAAACAGGGTCTCTCCCAGCTTTTCCTGTAACTGCCCTGAGCTGAAAATGCTTCAAGTTTATACTCCTCTAACTCTAGCCAATAACTCGCTGCTGCAGGATAATAAAAGGCCAGTAACTTGTCTGGACAAACTCTGAGGATGAATGGTGCCCCAGCTTGCTGCAGGATCAGGCAGAGACTGGGGCCTGGCTTCCACTTGCCCCCTTGCTTGATTTCTTCCTGTCCTCCGCCTGTTGCTCCACTCCTTTTTTTTTTCCTCCACCTTCTTCAATCCCCTCATTAATATATCACATACATGAGAATCCATTTCTCCTCTTTGAGAAGACCTGCCCTTAAGATAACCCCATTAATCTTAAAACACAGTAAAATGTTTCAAAACTCTTGAGTTTATCAGAAAATAGACCACAAAGAAACATCATCAGTAGAAACAGTTCCAAAACAGGCGAGTTTTAAATACATAAGCCAAGAGAAAGAATGAATTTCACTGTGGAAGAAGAGGCTAGCCCTACCCACAGTGGGCTGTGCTTCCAGATTGGCTGACAGTGCTATGGAGAAAGTAGCCTCCACTGGGCTGGCCCCTGTTGTATGAGCGCAGACTTTAGCAGATAACGGGATGGTAAAGGGGAATTGTTTTGGTTGGAAGGAGAATGAGAGAGAGAGTTGACAACAGGGTAAAAACATGAAGCTCGAGAAGAACGATGGCTCCTCACTTTCAAATTTATACTAAAATCTGTTGGGCGCTGGATGAGTGGAATACCTTTCTTCTTAAAAAAATAAATAAATCTATAATTTTATTAAGATAAAACTGAATGTGTGGTATGAAGTTCATGCTCAGACATTTTCACAGGCACCTACCTGCCAGGTGCCTCAGAGGATTCTACAAGATGATTGTAGATGCCAGTCTAGACAATGCCCAGAACTGGATGATGGATCTTCTGCCACAAGACAGTATTGGAGTGTGGCTAGGGCATAAGATTTTTGTGTGTCAAGGCCCAATGTGAAAGTTAGTCTCCTGAGACCAGGGTTTTGAAATCATTTGTTCCAAGGACAGTCACAAGCCATGGTTATCATCCACCCCTTGCTGTAGCAGCAACCACCCTGAGCACAATAAACGCCCTCCCATCTGTCACCTATACCACAGGCAAGGCAACTGTCACTGCACCACGAGACTTAGAGTCTACCTTTCTCCTTCCGATGTATGGTTCATATCCAAGTCATGGTGTCTTGTTAGTCCATCTTTTTGCTCTCTTGTTGGATATCACACACACACACACACACACACACACACACACACACACCTACCTTTAATCCCAGCAGAAACAAGTGGATCACTGAGTGTAAGGCTACCTGGTTGACCAGTAAAACCCTATCTCAAAAAACATGCTTCCCGTGTGTGATCTGGGTGTTAAGAAGTCCCGTGGCAGTCTGTAGTGAGGAGATGAAGAGGCAACATGTCTAGGCTTTTGGAAAGTCACTGGGCATGTGAGACATATTCAACTTCTCTGTGGATTAAGGAATGTTCCCAGACTCAGGGGAGTTGTTTCGAGGACTGTGTCTGAGAAAGGGGGAGCTGGGGTGAGGGGACAAACAGTGTGATATTTTTCTTATTAGTGATATTTTGAACATATTTTTTGAGGCCCAACCATGGAAACAAAGCAGGAAGAAACAAGACTATAATATGTGACCCATATCTTATCTTCACAGTTTCTTTTTATTGTCTTCTTTTCATTCTCTCTCTCTCTCTCTCTCTCTCTCTCTCTCTCTCTCTCTCTCTCTCTGTTCAAAGGACATGAGATTCTTACTCTAATATTCTATAGCCCAGCTGACACAGGTGTCCATCTCACTTCAAATAACAAGCAGGAGGAGGAATTACCGCTGCTTCCATGTACTCACCCCCCCTCCACCCTGCCCATACATGGGCCATCAGGGACAGACCAACACTAGTGGATCCTGCATTGCCACTGTGTCCCCCATCACATCTCTAACACAGAACAAAAGAAACTTCCCAGCTATGGAAAACCTGATTTGTTTGTTTATTTCAACTTTTCTTTAAGAGTTTAAAACTTTGAACATCTCCAAACTGTTGGGGAAACAGAAAGACTGTCTCACAGTCATCAGCTCAATTTAACCGTGGTTAATACTTTGCAATAATTACTTCTTATGCAGAATTTGGGAAGCATTTCAGAGCAAATCACGTGCCTTCAACCACTCCCCCCTCAGCACCTGAGCATGCAATGGCAGGGGACGTTCTCCGCCTTAACCACGGTGTCATTAAAACACCTACAACAGTTATCGGTGTTCCCTCATCATTTCTATTCTTATTCCATGTTACATCCAGGTAGTGACAGTCATCTCGCAAAGGTTTCCCACAGCTGTCCTTTTTTTCTCTGTATGGGATTCCTCAAGGATCTCTCTGCCCTTTGCTCTTCTCTCCTTCTAAGACTTCTCCAGCAGACGAAAGGCCTGCCTCCTCTGCCCCTCTTCTCATGACACTGTTGTCAGGATGAAGCTGGTTTCTGAGTGTAAATTGGTCAGATTTACTAATCAAAGCATGTGTGAACAACTGTCAGACTACTGAACAGACACTACCTGCCCGGCACTGGAAGGTTAGGACAGATGCATCATGAAATCAAGGACAGACTGAGCCTCTGTCTCAACAACACAAAAACAGCTTTTTGGCCAGAAGCAAATGCAATCTACTATGGAGGAGGCTGGCTCTACCCAGAGTCTTATAGCCCAATTTAATAGTAATTAAAATAATAAAGACATTTCCTGGTGGCAATGGATTAGAACAAAAACAAATCCCATGGTAATATCTGAAGATGGGAAGTGTTGAAAACCTGGCACGCCCTTTGCCTGTTTCCACATGTGTTTAACCATCTGTGTGCGTGTGCATGAGTGTACATGTGTATGCATGAGCATGCTCAAACTAAATACAAAATAGAACTTACTTTGAGATAGTAAAAACTTGGAAAGCTTTTTTTTCTTCTTCCAAATGACATGTGAATTCGATAAATATGATGTAGTGCTAAAAAAAAAAAAGTTGCACTTAGCTTGGAATTTTTAAGGATTAACCCTATTTTGCCTAAGGAAAAAAAATGAAGGTCAGAGCTACAGAGTGCTGGGGTCCAATGCTGTGCCCATCAGGTGACAGGAAGAGAACTCAGTGTTTGCCTTGCAACTTCCCATTGAGGGTACCTTGTCCACAGTCGGTCACCTAGCAATGGGGAAATGGGACTTCAGTGCAAATATCCCCTTTCCAAACCAGTGCCTTACCACTGCTGTCCAGGGGTTGCCAGCTCCTGCTATTCTGGAAGCTCTGTTGCTTCTTATTTCCTTGCCTGTTATTCATATTCTAGTATAGTAACGGGTGTCTGGAGATGGGGCCACCAGCTGACAGAGGACTCTGCCTGGTGGTGGAGCCCAGGTCCTCTTTTCCTAAGGTCTCTGAGGCTGTAGGCTGGAATCGCTCCTGGTTCTCAGATGAAAAACTGAAATATCAAATGAGTGGTGCCAGGTAGTGACTGCACATCAAGATAGAACAGCCACTCAGCTTCCACTGTGTCCTCAATTATGCCACAAGTCCCACAAGACACAGATACGCAGTGGAAGCCGGATTAGATTTTACCACTGTCAGCAGGATCCACCTCCCTTTGCCAAGGGGCGTGAATATCCATGTCCCTGGGTGGATCCTTAAAATAAGGTTGGTTTTTTTTCTTTTCTTTTTCCTTTGTTCTTTATGAAGTACACCTCTTGTGTGGTTCGTCAATGGCTCTCCTCTCTGGCTATCTCATGTGTTTGACATCTCTTACTCCTGGCATTTGTTGCTGTGCCGTAGCCAGTGCTGAGGGCCCATCTGCCTGAGCTGCTTCTCTCTGGAACTCCTCATGGGGACAGAAGCTGTGTCAGAGACTGTAGTGATGATTCACATGAATGCCAGCATGTGGGTCAAGCTTCATTCTCACAGAAACAGTCACACGTTCAACAGACATGCCAAAGCCAGAGCCCAGCACTGATGCAACAATGTTGCAGGTGGGCCCACACCAGGAAGCACACTTCTTAAGCAGGGTTGGCAAATGGGGTGTTTTCACAAAGCCACAGGGAGACAAACAAATGAAAAGTTTTAAAAGTTTTATTTAACACAGGACACCACATTGTCTTTAGAGTGGCAAAGCCTCGGCCAGCATGGGAGGGAAGAGACAACCTTAGAAGGGATGCCTCAGTTTCTTGGCAACATGGAGGTCCAGGTATTCATCCAGGAATCTGCTTGCTAATCCCAGGACAGCTAGGACAATCAACAAGGCCAAAACCCCCAGGCTCAGCTTGAAACCAGTGATCCTGCAGGGTAAGCATGAAGGGGTGAGGTGGCTAGTTGGGCTGCGAACAGGACTTTGGGGTCCTGGCAAAGGCTGCTTGCTCCTTGTTGGAACTGCTCAGAACCTCAGAAAGAGGCCATTTAAAATACTTAGCTCATCGTGAAAATTAGAGGGGATGCCACGCCACTGAGGTCAACCAGCCCCTCACCTAAACATTCTAGAAACGATGCAGAATTCTTGCTGGGGTTTGCAGCTTGTGCATTGAGCAGATTCCCACCTCCATTTTCTCATCTCATGCCTAATTGTGTGGTTTGGCAAGACTGGCCTCAGGCAACGCGGGTCACTTTGGTCACCAATACTCCATTGGTTCTTAATCCTCTCAGGAACGGAAAACACACCCTGCTGTACCTTGCACAAACATACCATTATCGGGTTCTCCTTACCTTCCGTCAGTAGTTTCTGCATAGCCCCAGAAGTACTTGTGACGGGCGTATATGTACACGAGACCCAGACAAGTTGCAAAAACTACACAAGGGATAAAATAAAGAAAATGCACAGAACTTAAAGAATGTTTCACAGAATAAAGTGTGGTGACTGAGAAAGTATTTTAAAAATATTTTCCTGACAAAAAATTTTGTGCCCAGAATAAATAATCCTTATGATAATAAAAGAAAAACAACTTTGCTAAGCAAGTGAAATATTTGAATACACAATTTACACAAGAAGATAAATAAGTGTGCCAGTAATCACATGGAAAATGTTTCGACACAATTCAAGGTCAGCAAACTGCTAATTAAAAACTGCAGTGAGAGCCAGTGAAATGGCTCAGTGGGTAGAGGCAAGCTTGCAGCTCAAGTCTGGCTATTGAGGTCAAGCTCCAGGAGGAGGAAGATGAGAGCAGATTCCACACCATTGGCCTTTGAGTTCCATGTGGAAATGTGGCACATGCTTCAACATGCACTGAGCATACACACACACACACACACACACACACACACACACTAATAATAATAATAAGCAAAAATAATTCATTTTAAATGTTTTTAGGCTACAGTGAGATGTTACCTTCATGTACCCAGCAGAATGGCTAGAATTTTTTAAAAATATTTTATTGTTTTTGTTTGGTTGTTTGTTTATTTGGTTTGTTGGTTGCTTGGTTGTTTGGGTTTTTTCTTTTCTTTTTTAAATAATTTTTTAAAGATTTTATTTATTTATTATGTATACAACATTCTGCTTCCATGTATATCTGCACACCAGAAGAGGGCACTAGATCTCATAAGGGATGGTTGTGAGCCGCCATGTGGTTGCTGGGAATTGAACTCAGGACCTCTGGAAGAGCAGTTGGTGCTCTTAACTTCTGAGCCATCTCTCCAGCCCCTGTTTGGGTTTTTTCAAGCATGGTTTCTCTATGTAACAGCCTTGCCTGTCCTGGAACTCACTTTGTAGACAAGGCTGGCCTTGAACTTAAAGATCCACCTGTCTCTGCCTC